GCGTATTTCCTCAGGATCGGTTCCCCTGGATTCTCGGGACTGAAAGACCTTAATCTCTAACCTTAACCTAATATTTCTAATCTTAACCGCTAATTAATTTTTGGCAATCCGCCGAGATAACGACTGATTTTATCTCGTGCGGCCTTCCACCCGTATTCAGTCTTGGCAATTCGTAAGGGTATTGACTGAATCTACCCCGTACGACCTTCCACCCGTAATCAGTCTTTGGCAATCCGTCGGGGTTGTTAATACTTTTACCCCGTACGGCCTTCCACCCGTACCAATCAGTCCCTTAAACCCTTTCACCTGGAGCGCCGGCGTCTTTCGCCGGACCTAACCCGATCCTGAAACTCACCCTAACCTTAACCCTAAATTCCGTGCACCACCCCGAAGGGGGAAAATCCTAATTTCCCTGAACCACCCCGAAGGGGGAAAATCCTACCCTCCCTAAACCTAACCTGCGTCCCTACTTCCTCACTCTCTCTCCTGATTTCTGAGTTTTTATTGGAGATCCTAACGGGCATCCCCGATGCTCGTTACATATATTTACTTTTACTTTTATTGAATTTTTTAAATGTTTTCACCACATGACGTTTACGGTTCCTACGTCAGTATACATCAGAGTATACATATTTTCATAGCTTTGTCTGGTGCCTACTGAGACGTATATCGTGAAGGAAAAAAATTGAAATACGTTGGGTAGTTCATAAAAAATTCCCAGAAATACATGCCCGCAAAAAGTATAGCATCTCTGGAATCACAATACCGACTTGTCATATTAGAAGAACTACAAGTGTACACAATTTCAACTAACTATCTCTATTTTTTATTGACTTATCATGTTCACAGCGTTTATGATTATAAAACGTAAAAACGGCGATATAGGACTCACTGAGACAAGTATTTAGAGAAAAATTGGAATCCTTGCAGTGCTTTTTGCTATTTACGAAAAACGAAATTTACAGAATTTGCTGTATCTCGGGAACTACTCCATCGATCGAGCTGAAACGACCTATCATAGTCAATGTTAATAGTAGCTATTACGAGTTGAAAATTCAGATGTTTAGCTACAGTTTTTACCGTATTTATGTAGAATTTTCTTAAAACTACTCTTCAAAATTCCTAATTTTCCAGCACATACACATAGAAATGATCTAAAAACACCGGTTTTCACGTTCCAAAATAATCTAGATAATTGGCAATGAAAATTAGAAAATCGAGAAATCGATTAAGTTCAAGGCTTCCACTCGGGAGCAAAATCATTTCTATTGTGTTTTTAATGTGACGCCACATTAAAAAATACCTCAACTCATGCTTGAATCCTCCCTCTTCTCCTTTATTACACGCTCCCAGCAGAACCGACTCTGACTCCTATATGCCGCAGGCATGCACCCACCTCACGCATAGCGTCACTGGTCATGCTCCCCACCCCTTCGCCGACCACCCTTCGTCCGCATTTGATTTCGAATCGCCTTCACATATCTACTGCCATCAGACATTGCATACCAAATATGAGAGATCCGGTATGTATCAAGAAGGATACTTGGCCCAATAATTTAACCCCAATCGATAAGGTAGAACTAGACATTACCGATCGCTGGTCAAGCAGAAGCCGCCATTGAGCCTGGATATTCACTTCTTGAATTCGTTGCAACTGGGCCGAATGCACTGATGTCGCACTTCACTTTTCCAGTTCGGGTCATTTTATTCACGACGTTATTTTATGTCACTGGGTATCATGAATATGCGTTTCCTCGCTTCGGTCGGTATATTTACGGTTCTCGGCCTGAATGATATATAAACGTAGGTGAAACTTGTGGGTTATGGTGTTTTTTAACTTCCGTGAAACTCATCTTCGATATGATGTGTACTACTTTCTATATCCTCATATCATCTAAATTACCAGTAGAATCTTGTCATATTGTTTGGGAACATAATAGATAACTGAAGAAACGTTAAATAAATTCAATTGAATAACTAATTTTCTCCATATTTTACACTTCACAAACATACTTTGGAAACACTGTCTTGGAATGATTTCGCTTAAAACGCCTTTCTTGAAGGACTAGGATATGAATAATCTGAAAAATTGTGTTACTGAAGTTCTGTAACTTTACATATATGGTAAAGCTATTTGAGAAATTTCAGCTGTATTTGTCAATAAGTAATTCTTCTTTCAACGAGATAGTTTGAATATCTATAATCCTAGAATTTTTTGGTTTAAGTTTTTTCGCGATGATTTATTAATCCCATTGATGATTTGCCTTTAACACAGATAATTGTTGGAGACTGCGTAAATGCTCTTGCTCACATGATTGACGAGGGTCGCCAATTCGATTACGTCTTCGGAGACTTGACAGACATCCCAATCAGTACGACGCCCCACGGTGATGCTTGGGATTTTATCCGACTGATATTAAACTCATCAATGAAGGTGCTAAAGCCATCAGGAAAATACATGACTCACGTAAAGTTTTTTTTAATCTCTTTTTTCCACACACTCAAAAAATTCCTATCGTGTTTTAAAAAATTGGCCAAAATCATTGATGTTGCAAATTATCTGATAAAGCTGATTATGCTTATTTTTCAACCAAAGGCAAATCTTTTTTAATTTATGGCAGAAATGCACGATACGGATTTTCCGCAGTGTAGTGATTCATAATCATGATTAACGTTATTGAGTATTATATTGTGAAATTGGAATTTAGTTTGTTCTTAATAATTTTCATGCATCAAGCGAAGTGTGTGAAAATTACTGGCGGTCCTCCAGAATAATTAATTTCAACTGAAAATTTCTCAGTCCGTTTGGATATATTGCGAGAATATTGAGAAATAATTTGTCTCCGCCAAGGACGGAAATTTCTACCGTTAGAAATTTCTTGTTCTATTTTAATTATACTGATGACATCCCCAATTAATAACGGTAAATGTATAGTTCAAGTCCACCAAACCATTCTGTATGGTGTATATTTATTTGGATCGGTTTCCGTCGCCTGATTGAGGATCTGGGCAGCATTTTAGTGGGAAACAAATAGTATAGAAGACATGGATTCTATTAGACCGCTCTCTGCGTTATTGATTCATTATATTCTGACTTCACTAAAAACTCTGAATTCACCTCACTGAACTACCTACCGTCACTAATTAAACACGAAGCGTGATTTATCTGCGGCTACCTTTCTGTAGCCATTTGACTTATCCTTTCCTTATATAAAAAGGCGAGCATAAAGTTATTTTTATATCTTGATTTATAAAAAATTTTTTGGAATCATTGACACATCCAATCGTATGTGATGTACAGATTATCTTTTCCAATTCCGCGGTATATTAATACCAAAAAGTGAAGTCAATGAAGGACTACTTGCAAAAAAAAATGAGTCGATTAGGAAATCGATACCAACTGCCATCGATCTCGAGGGACTGTACAACGCTGCATTCTTCCGAGGCTATGGCAATTCAAAAGGAGAAAACATGGCATTGCAAAAATTTCGACAAAAGAAGCAGAGTCGATGAACCGAAAAACAAAGAGATGGAAATACACCACCTCTCCTACTCTAATTAAATTTCAAAATTCCCAAAAAGAAATAACAGCAAAGAGGATTGACTAAAGTAGAGGCTCAATTCTGGAGGTTTGGGTGACCCCAGCGCCATCGTAGTAGCTCGCCCCAAGAGAGGGAGGGCGCCACACGCAATGCTGAGGTATCTGCCCGTTAGCCAATTCAACAATTACTCAGTAGCAGTTCCGCTGTCAGAGGGACTAGTTGAAAGTGGGGGTGTAGCCCTCTGAGTCACCGAACTATTTTTTTTTTCATTAAAATTAGGTAACATTAGGATTTGCGGAAAGGAGGGATATGAGAATACCCTTTTACCTGCGAGATATCGCTCTGACGTGATGGAGGGCCCATGTTGGAGGAATGACCACCTAGCGGCAGACCACAGCCGCCCTGAGGAGGAGATTCGGCGACCCGGACTACCAACGCAAGCTACGCCGGGAAATCGACATGGTCCTCCAAATCGACCCGGAAACACCCTCAGCCATAGTCAATTACCCCATTCCCCAGATGATGAACCAGCTGAGACACTTCCTGGGGATGGCCTCCCCGTACCGGCGGTTCATGCCGACGTTTGTCAGCATAGCGGAGACCCTGACCAGCCTCACCAAGAAGAACCAGGCCTGGCGGTTGAATACCGAGCAGAATGGAGCCTTCGAGTTACTGAAGAGTCACCTAGTGTTGCCCCCAACACTCGCGTGCCACGACTTTACGAAGCAGTTTGTTCTCCAGACTGATGCCAGTACCGTGAGACTGGGAGCGGTCCTAACGCAGGAACTGAAGGGGGACAAACGCGTCATAGCCTACGCGAGTAGAGCCTTGACCGACCCCGAAAAGAACTATACCACTACCGAGCAGGAGTGCCTAGCGGTCATATGGGCCATTCGGAAATTCCGCTGCTACCTGGAGGGATATCACTTCAGGGTGATCACCGACTACAACAGCCTCCGGTGGATCCACCAGCTCCGCATCCCGACTGGGCGGTCAACCAGATGGTAGCTAGAATTGATGGAGTATGACTCCCAGGTCATTCACGGCAAGGGCGCCCTGCATCACGTTCTTGCCGCTCTCTCCTGCATCCGGGAAGGACCTCAGGCCAAGGGAAACCTCCATACCATCACAGTAGAAGGCAGCTGGAGTCACACCCAGGACGCATGGTACTCGCAGTGGCGGCAAGACATCCAACGCCGAACCCTATAATACTCAGATTGGAGGGTGGAAAATGACCAGCTGTACTTTCATCGGAGCAACGAGATGTACGACGGGGAGATTCCAGACCTGCAGGCCTGAAAGTTAATAGTACCAAGAGAGTACCGCACAGGAATCCTGGAGAGTGCCACAGCCTACCCCAGGCCGGCCACCCAGGTACCGATAAAACATATCGAAGGCTGGCCCAGAGTTACTACTGGACGAAGATATCCAGAGATGTCCTGACTTTCGTCATTGATTCGTCATTCTACAAAGTAACATCAAATGGGGATAGGGCAGCCTTCTCATGTGGCCGAAGGACCAGGACTTCGATCTCAGCCTGTGGAAGTTCGTGGTGAGGGCCACCTACCGCCGGGAAGACCAGCACTTTCCCTTCCTGGAGGAGAGCGACCGGGCGATTCGTGCCACCGGGACCATTAGGTTCCTATTACTGCCCATGCCTACCGGACCATTCTGGGGGCCAGTGCAGCGCCACGCCACTACCTTGCGTTGGCTGGGGAAAGAGTTCTTATGAGAAATTTCGGTTCATGCTTACCCATTTATTAAAAAAAAAATAGCTATCATGTTAATAATGATAAAAAAAATCAATCGCAGCTAGAATCGAACCCGAGCCAACAGCGCATCAGCCAAGCACGTAGCCTATCCGCCAGCGCGTGTCTTTGAAGAGGAGTAGTGTCATCTTTCTCATAGCTATTGATTAATAACAATTAATCGTCAGGAAAATTATACTCCCCATTAATTTATTTTCTTTCCAAATGCCGTTTCCGATTCCCTATTCTAAAAGGTTCAGAAAAAATACAAAACAATTAATTAAAAATTTTTGTTAAGACCCACAAGTTATTTTTTTTTTATGGGGACATGAGAAGAAAAGTTATTTCAGCAGAACAAACGAATGGTTTACTCATTCGTGATTTCAAAGAAACTCTGAAAGTGAAAATTTTTTTGAGTACAATAGGGAGTAAAAATTATTTGCAATTAAAGAAAACTGGTAGAACCGAACCCAGTAGTTGGATTTGAAATTCCGCCGTCCCACTTTCTTCTCAATCTCCTCGATTTTGAATAAAGCATTCTCATATCCTCCTTTCCGCTCATCCTAATGTTCAATTTTAATGAAAAAAAAAACATTTCGGTGACTCAGAGGACTACACCCACACTTTCGACTAGTTCCGCTGACAGCGGGACTGATCCTGAGGAATTATTGAATTGGCGAAGACACCCCAACATTGCGTGTGGTGCCCTCCCTCTCTTAGGGTGAGGTACTACGATGCCGCTGTGGTCACTCAAACCCCCAGCACTGAGTCTCTACTTTAGTCAATCCTCTTCGAATAACAGGGCCTCACAAAAAAGTGAGGCCTCACAAAAAAGTGAGACCTACTCGCGAATGAACTACGATTTCTTACCGGAAATACTTTTTAGAATCGGCCCGGCTCCTGTTCACGTTCAAATTAATTATACTTTTAAGTGTTTTTGAGTACACGTTGTAACGATGTTTTCCCCGGAGTGTTCCGTAAGTCCGGGGAATTGGTTACCTTCGCCGGTTCCATAGCATCCGCGAATTTACCAGGAGGGCGCCAGCTATTTTAAGTGGGTAAAATAGCAAACCAGAGAGCCGCCTAGTTGTTAAGGATACAATTAGGAAATACCATTTAAGCCGCCTAGTTGTTGAGGACACAATTAGGAAAGACCGAATTTACCGGTGGAGGTGGGGGTTAGCACCTCCCCAGAGATAACCGATAACAGATACGGACGAGAGCACAGAACGGTGGGGTTTGCCCGTTCTCGCGACAGGACAGACAAGAAGTTCCGTCTAGTTGTTAAGGACACAATTAGGAAAGACCGATAAGTTAAAATTAGGTGTGTGACCAGAGATCGTCACTGTCACTTTCCAAGGGCGCAGTGAGGACCTCTGGAGCCTTCCCGCGAAATACCAAAATGGCGGATGTAAAGTTAGAACACGTGCGGGAGCACCGGGTCGCTCAGTATGCTAGATTATGGAGAGAGGGTCGGAATTCTTTTTAGTATGGTCGGTCCCCGATAGCGTCGAAAGGTTGGTAAGGTAGGGTGATCAATAGCAGATCAGGTCGATAGAGGCGAGAGCGATCGGTAATTAGATAGCGGAAGAACGTCGATAGCTGCCGATATGCGCTAGCATCGCGAGAGCTCTAGGTATAGGTATACCTTCTACTATATTCCGTTAGGTCAGCCTCATAGCTGTAAGAGAGATAGCGATAGGTAAAGCGATATGGCCGGCTATATAGCCACACTAATCATCGAGAGCTACGGGCTGTCAGAGCCCGGGGCCGAGTGGCCCGTGAGAGTGCCGGAGCAACTCTGCCGTGTGGAGTGGAGAGTGCTCCCTAGTAGCTCTGCTCCCCACTCCCGACTCACGCGGCTGGAGTGCGTGGGAGGTCGTCCGTGGTTCTTATCACCACCGCGAGGATATCCCTGCCGGTAACGTTTCCTGGAGCGCGCCGAATTCAAATGTCCCCAACCAGGCTGTCCAGGTAACCCCTTATCTAGACCCCTGGCCATTTGAATGCCCGCCCCGTCTAACGTGGAACAGTTCTCTGGAGTGGAGAACCAAATGTTCCGACAGAGGAGTCTCATTGGGAGCTGAGGTTCAGTACTATAACCTCAACTCCCCACGCGTAGGGAATTAGCGGACCCAATCGATGCGGCAGAGAGCGTGATTTATTCCAATAAATAT